CACACACAGACACGATCAATTGATTTTGTTTTGTAAGAAATCATATATATATATATAAGAGAACCCTAGGCCCGCCTACGTGGTGCCACCACAAACAAGGATTCCTTTTTAAATTTATTTATTTCCAAAACTTGCCTTCCCCTTTCATGAAACGTTGTGATGTTTATGAAAAGTTGTGACTTTTATGAAGGGTTGCAACTTTAATGAAAAGTTGTGACTTTTATGAAGAGTTGTGGCTTTTATGAAGGGTTGTGACTTTAATGAAAAGTTGTGACTTTTATGAAAGATTGTGACCTTTCTGAAGGATTGTAACTTTTCCAAATAGTTGTGACCTTTCCGATAAAGCACAATAAACATTTGTTGATACTACCCTTTGTTGTCTATAAATAGAGGGATTTCCTCTCATTTTAAAACAACGAAACTTCATAACTTCTTCTTCTTTTTCTTCTGCACAAATAAATATTTGTGTATTTTGCTCCTGTTGAGTGACTTACTACACCATTGTATTTGTATCAATACACTGGTGAGTGTGTTTATGTTATTAATATAGCGCTTTAAGATTTCGGAGGAATGCTTTGCCTTAAGATAAAATGTTATTGAAATTTAGAGTATGTATCAAAAATACAGATATTACTGAATAATCATATGTAAACTTAATAAAAGAGTTCAATCTCGTGCGAAGCACGGGTAAATTTACCTAGTGTATACAAAAGAAGGGAAAAATTCGATGCAGAAAAATGAGAGAAAGTCTTTTTATTTATAACCAACAAATGGTAAAAGTCACAACTTTTTGAAAAACAAAAACATTTCAAAAATGTCACAACTCTTTGAAAAATATACAACCTTTCAAATGGTCACAACCCTTTAGAAAAGACACAACTTTTCATAAATCTCACAACCCTTCGACAAAGTCACAACCCTTCAAGAAAGCTACAACCCTTCATTTTCTATTTACACCTTTAAAACCCAACACATATTACCATGTGTCAAATCTTGACTGGTCTTACTGTATAGCCCGGTTTTTACCCAATAAAAAAATAACACCTCATATTCTTTCATTTTCAATAATACTGAAGTACTTCTCAATGAATTTTTAGCTCAATAGATAGTAGTAATAATGATGTAAACCAAAATTTACATAGAAATTTCAAACATCCTAATTTAGAAGCAGCAATTAAAGAAAATATGTTTCATTCATTTATAAATTTATGGACAAAATTCCATTGGGATGTTGAAACCATCATATGTCGAAGAAATCTTTATTGTTGAATTGGTTTAAAACGTATTCAGCCAAAGTGTTTTGGGGGTGTACCTTAATCTTGACATTCGAGTAGTCCATTGCAATCCCCCGTTTGACATTGACCCTTGCCTAATGTGTTGAAATTGCAATTGGTTCGGCCCCAAATACAAGAGTTTTTAGTTGTGTTTACCTCGATTTTCCATGTTCCACCGTACTCGAGTTGTTTGCGTCTGCTTGCGTTGAGAAGAGATGAGAAGTCATAACATAGAAAAATATGAAGAAGGATTTGAGGAAGCTCATCATATTTGTGACTATCAATGGACTAGATATTTTTTAAGAACGAATAGTCAATAGAGTTTACTCATTGGTCAATTAAAATGGTGCTTAACTTTGTAATAGAGAGGAGAGGAAGACTTTGACTTCATTACTGGGAATTTATAGTAACCTTAAGACGCGTGCTAGGTAGAAAATAGACATAATACATGGCGTGATTAGTGTATGCCACGTAGTTTGCGTGTGTCAATTTGTACACATTCAAAAATTTGGATGTTAGCTAAGACTAAGTTAAATTATACATTTTTATATTATGCCTAGAAAATACTTATAATAAATACACTCTCCGTCCACTTTTATTTGTCCACTATACTTAGATTGTCATCTTTTACTTGTCCAGATTAGAAAACTTAGCCAATACTTGTAATAACTATCGCCCTCCCTCCGGTCTTTATCTCTTACTAGTTACTCCCTCTGTGCACTTTTTACTTATTCGATATTGGCATGGCATTATCTTTAAGAAATAATAGAGTTAGTAACTATTGAATTTGATCGAATCTTAGCTCAGCCATAAAGCTTAATTTTGTTAACAATTTAACATATATATATATATATATATCTTTTTTATTTCATAAAATCAACTGCAGATGAATGCAACAACTTGAACAAGACAACGTCTCACCAGCTCTCTCCTCTTTGTCACACTCTTTTTATTCAATATATATAATATGTAGTTCTTAGTACTATATAGTTCTAATTTTGTAGCCTTCAAGGGCAAAAGACAACCTTGTAATTTGTTCCAGCAGGACATGTAAACAAACTTGTTGGATCATCTTGTGGATAACTATAAGCATCTGGGCATCTTTGTTTGAAAAATCTCGATAAATCAGTAGGACCACATGACCCTGGCCCATTTGTACAACAAAATTCATTCGTCTTGAAAACCGTGCACGGGTTGTTACACCCACCCGGTGTCCGTAATTCGTTTGGACATTGGTCGTTAATAGGTGCGTTGCATAAGAGATTACGACACCCACCGTTGATTGGGCTGAATTCCATAGGAATGTTGAATCCATCGACTAGAGAAATATCGACAAAATCCAAGTTATTGGGCTGATTTAGAGCAAATTCGGCTAAAGTGTTGGGTGGACTACCATAACCTTGACATTCTAACAGCCCATTACAATCTCCCGTCTCGCATTTGCCTCGGCCACTACCATCAAAGTTACAATTGGTTCGGCCCCAAATGCGAGCCTGGATTGTTCCTGGGTTCACATTAAGGTTCCAAGTTTGGCCCGAGTCGAGTCTTCTGCCTCCCCCAGGAGAGGCAGCGGCCCAGACCGGGTAGGTGCACCGATTGGTAATGTCAAAAGTGGCAGCATGAGTGACATATAAATAGTATTGACCAAAATAAAGGAAGACAAAAAGGGGGAAAAACTTGAGGAAATGCATTTTTTTTTGTGTTGTTAAACTTGAGAATGTGTTTATTTTGAGACACAATCTACGGGTTTAAATAGCTAATTTAATGGCCTAGTATGATGAACTTTCATAGATTCTAACTTCTAAGAACCTTTGAAATTTCAAACAACACAATTTTCTTGTGGAAATTTGTGTAATAGTCCTTGATTTATTGAAATTTTAATGTTGGTCCTTTTGTTATCTAGATAGGCTTAGATAGAAATTTCTTTTAGGTGGAAAATATAATTTATCATGAAGACATAGACTCACTATGTGAAAGAGGTAAGAGAGTGTCATCTGCAATTGTAGGTTCGTGTCCTACTAAATCTATCACCCCATCTCTCCACCTGATAGAAGACAGTCGAAGTATCCGGCATTCTGTAGATTTCAATACTTGACTGACTTAACTAGCTTCAATCGAGTTTTCAGAAGTTAATTAAAATGTGCAATGTCGTACCATGTGCTAGTGAATCTTCATAATTTTGACAAATTATTGATTATTAAACATGTATTATGGTAACTTTGTATTGTTGCTCCGATCCGCAATTAAAGATACTATAGGTCTAATAATAATCTAAATATAACATACTTTCTACGTAATGGACTGAAAATACAATTTCTAATTAATTCAAAATTAAATATAATAAGGATCAGAATTAGAATTTACCAATAACTGAGGTATAAAATTCTGATTATCCCTATTTTTGTCCTTGTTATTGTGATTGCAAAGTACATCTCTTGTTTATTTCGTGTCATACACACGGTTTGCGTGAATAACTTTTATTTGTACTTCTTTTAAAATATCTGTTTGTTTGCATGACTAACTTTTATTTGTGATTCTATTGAATCATCTTGCTTCTTGACGTGTTTAATTAGTTATGTATTATATTAAATTTGTATTGTTACTTTGTAATCTGAAGTAATATAAGTCTAGTGTTAATATAAACCTTATATATCTATATATATATATAAAAGCAAAAATACATTTTTTATTGTGATTGCAAAGTCCATCTCTATCGTGCATTTCGTGCCAAATAGGCAATTGTTTTGCGTTGCTAATTTTTATTAGGCCTCCTTATTTCATTGACTTGGAAATTCTTCACTAAGCAAGAATAAGAAATTTGAGTACTTAAATGTAAGAATTAGGGGAAAAATAGGAACATCTTCATACTTTTAGGGCCCATTTAGTCAGGTGAAATGAAATCATTATTATATGAAATCATATAAGATAAAATTGATGTTTTATTTGGACATACAATATAGATTTTTAAGTTATATTTTTTATATAAATTTTAAGAATCACATAGTTTTAATATGAAATTACAATCTATCCCTATTTAGTTTGTAATTACATTAATTTCTGAAAAAGTAAAACAAACCAGATACATAACATGTAGCTCAGATACATTAAAAACTAGCTCAGATACATTAATAAAAATAAACCCGGATACATAATATGTAGCTCGGATACATTATAAAATAATTTAGAATTAGGAGAGAAATAAGGGATTTTAGAAATAGAAGGAAATATTAGAAATAAGGGAAATATAAGACGTGTATTTCAATAATTTTTCCTATTTTGTATGCTTATAAACGTAAAAATCTCATAAATTGTGAAAACTATTGAAATTATCCAAATTATTTATACAATCTTACCAAATAAGCAAAATTTCATTAAAAAAATATATGATACACTATCACAAAGCTATTCTAAAAAAAAAAATACAACATTTATTGATGAGACTTTAGTCCAATAAAAAGATTAAATCGAACATGAGTTGTATTGTACTATTCTTTACTTTGAGCCATTTGTTAGTCAATATGATTAGTAAATATATCATTATGTTCATAGTCCGTAAATATTTCGTCGTGCATTTGCTATTCTCGCAAAAAATTAATTACATAGATATAAAATGGTGAGTATTTTTTATAAAAACATAAACTTGTCGGCAATTTCTATATTTAAATAGCGATAATGATGTAAACCAAACTTACATAGAAATTTCAAACGTATTAAAAGAAGCAACAATTAAAGAAAAAAATATGTCATAGAAATTTCAAACATCTTAAAGAAGCAACAATTAAAGAAGAAAATATGTTTCAACCATTTAATTTAGTCATAATACATAAATATGTTCTTAACTTGAACTCATTTCATCTTTACACCCTTCAACTTTGGGTGTGCACAATCAGACACTTTAACTTGTATAAAATTGAACAATTAGACACATGAGTCTTATGTGACATAATACACATAACACACCACGTAGGATGAAAATTGCTTTGTAGGATGCCACATATAGGACGTGTGTGCACTTTAAGTGTCTACCTATGCACACCCAAAGTTGAAGGACATAAATATGAGTTGGAGTTGAGTTAAAAAAACATATTTATGTATGATGTACGTTACGGACAAAAGACAACTCTATAGGTAGTTCCACTAGGACAAGTGAAGAGACTACTTAAATCATCTGCAGGATAACTAAAAGAAGTTGAACATCTATCCTTAAAGAACCTCGAATAGTTGGTCGGACCACAATTTCCAGACGTGCAACAATATTCGTCCGTCTTGAAAATCGTACAAGGATTGTTGCATCCTCCAGGTGTCCTTAATTCATTTGGACATTGTCCTATGATGTCCGCGGTGCATCTGATCCTAGTAGAGCACTCATCCGCGAACACAGGACTAAATTCCATTGGGACGTTGAAACCCTCAACAAGAGATAAGTCGAAGAAATCATTATTGTTGTATTGGTTTAAAGCGTTTTCAGCCAAAGTGTTTGGGGGTGTATTACTAAAAGTTTGACATTCGAGCAGTCCATTGCAATCCCCCGTTTGGCATTGACTGTGGCCTAATGAGTCAAAATTACAATTGGTTCGACCCCAAATACGACCCTTTTTAGTTGAGCTCGTTGTCATGTCTGGCTCGATTTTCCATGTATCACCATACTCGAGTTGTCGTCCCCCACCGGGGACGGCTGCTGCCCATACCGTGAAGGGACAATTATTTTGTATGTCGATTATTGCGTTTGCTTGTATTGAGATATGAGAAGTTATAATATAGAGGGATATGAAGAAGGATTTGATGAAGCGCATGTTTGCTTTAAGAATAAATGTGATAATAATAACAATGGATTTGTAATTAAGGCTAGCTAAGTGCAATTAGTCAATAGATCAGTTAAGTTATTGGTGACACAAGAAAGAGAGAGAGGGGAGACTTTAATTTTGACTTTATTACAATGAAATTATAAATATATAACGATGCATAATATATAGAAAATTTCTCTCTGTTCATTTTTACTTGTTTATTATTTGAAATATGAATTTTCATTTTTAACATATCAAGAATACTCTCCTTATATTGGTCACGGGATATTACTTCGTAGGACATCCTCTAGAAAAATATACTAGTCATCGAAAAATTGTAAGTGTGTGAACCAGGTAAAAATTTGTAGAAATAAGGGGTAAAAGCAAGAGAATTAGATTCGATGAAACTTTTTTTTTGGCCAAGTCAAAAAAACAAGAACAAATGGGTCGAATATTTAGACCGGTTTTTACCCAATAATACCCCATACTTTCATTTTCAGTAATACTAAAGTTCTCATTGAATTTTATAGCTTAATATATAGGGATAATGATGTAAACCAAATTTACGTTGAAATTTCAAACGTACTAAGAAACAACAACTAAAGAAACAGAATGAGCCATATTTGTCCTTATACTTTCAGAAAAAGGTTATATTAGCCATTCATTATATTTTTTTGGGATTAGGCACAAGTACCCTCCTAGACTATGACCAAAATCCCAGAGACACACCTTAACTAAACTAAGGTCCTATTATCCCCCTGAACTTATTTTTTTTGTAATTTTGTACACCTTTTGTCTTACGTGGCACACTCCGTGACTCCACATAATTGAGGCGCGTGGGAGATATTTGGATGCCACGTAAGCCAAAAAGGTGCACAAAATTACAAAAAAAATGGGTTCAAGGGGGTAATAGGACCTTCGTTTAGTTAAGGTGTGTCTCTGGGATTTTGATCATAGTCTAGGGGGGTACTTGTACATTTTCCCTATTTTTTTATATATTTGCCACTAACAACCAACTTTAGACACATTTGTTCTTGAAATTGTTAAGTCTCATCTCCCCACTTTTATCCTCCTGCATGGCGCCTATGCAATAAGCCTACATGGATTTATATATATTCATTCCACTTAAAATTCTTCCTAGTTTAATTATTATAATTTATACCCAACCATTTAATCCGTAAAACCTACCCCTAGTACTCCTATTTCATTGTCGCAATTCCCACGAAAAAATAACAATTCTTTGGCAAAAAAATAGCAAGGGTTTTTCATATATAATTGGGCCATAGCCTCCAGCTATATATATATATATATATATATAGGCATGCCACCAAGACGCTATATAGGATGATAAAAGAGGGTAGATGAAACTTAACACTCTCAAGGGAGTATATATATATATATATATATAAGGCATGCCACCGAGATGCCATGCAGGATGATAAACAGGGTAGATGAAACTTAACACTCCCAAGGGAATATATATATATAGGCATGCCACCGAGACGCTATGTAGGATGATAAAAGAGGGTAGATGAAACTTAACACTCCCAAGGGAAAAATAAATAAATATATATATATATATAGGCATGCCACCGAGACGCTATGTAGGATGATAAAAGAGGGGAGATGAAACTTAACACTCCCAAAGGAAAATATGTGTCTAAAATTAGATGGTTGAGACAAATATATGACGAAGGTAAATATAACCCTTTTTTTAAAAGTACAAAAACAAATATGACTCTATTCCATACGTTTCATCCATTTAATTTATGGACAAAATACCACTCTATAACTAGTTCCATCGGGACAAACGAAGGTACTACTTGAATCATCCAAAGGCAAATTGTAAGAAGTTGAACATTTATCCTTAAAGAACCTCGAATACTTAGTCGGACCACAATTTCCTGACGTGCAACAATAATCGTCCGTCTTGAAAACAGTACAAGGAGTGTTGCATCCTCCAGGACCCCTTAGTTCATTCAGACATTGTCCTATGATGTCCTCAGTGCATCTGATCCTAACAAGCACTCATCCGCGGACACAGGGCTAAATTCCATAGGGATGTTGAAACCATCAACAAGAGATATGCCCAAAACATCATTATTATTGAATAGGTTCAAGGCGTATACGGCCAAAGTGTTTGGGGGTATACTACTAAAAGATTGACATTCGAGTAGTCCATTGCAATCCCCCGTTTGACATTGACCACGTCCTGATGTGTCAAAATTGCAATTGGTTCGACTCCAAATACGAACCTTTTTAGTTGAGCTTGCGGTTGTGTCTGGCTCAATTTTCCATGTATCACCGTACTCGAGTCGTCGCCCCCCACCGAGGAAGGCTGCTGCCCATACCGTGAAGGGACAATTGTTTTGTAGGTCGATTATTGCGTCTACTAGTATTGAGAGATGAGAAGTCATAATATATACTATATAAAGGGATATGAAGAAAGATTTGATGAAGCTCATGTTTACTTTAAGAATAAATATGATGATAATAACAATGAACGAGGGATCGAATTTGGAAGGACGAATTATAATCAATACTCCATCTGTTCCTATTTATATATTATCATTTTAGATTTCACGTCTCTTAAAAGCCTATATACTCCCTATGTCCATTAAGACTTGTCCACTATTGACTTTGCATGCACACTTCTTAAGAAACTATAAATAGAAGGGTAATTTTACTATATCACCCTTTGAAAAATAATAAATACAATGTCTTGAAAAATGTAATAGAGAAATAACTATAATAATGATAAAAGTAAATTAGGAACTTAGCGTAAATATCCATTGATTTCATACCGTGGACAAGTATTGTTGGACATCCCAAAATAGTATAGTAGACAACTATTATTGGATGGAGGGAGCATAAATTTACCATTATACTCTTATTTAGTGTTCTCTTGAGGTCAAGTTTTAATAAATGAACATAAATTAGTTTATTTTGATTTATTAAATGAGCCAATGAACATGAATAATCATTTAATTTTTCTATATTAGTCAAATTTATATTTTCAAATCTAATAACTCTCAAGGATAAAATACAAAAAAATAATGTTATTTATGTATTGATTTTGTGAAATAATAAATATTTATTTTAAGTAAAAATGACATATAAATAGAAACAGAGAAAGTAGAGTTTACTCATTACTCATTAGTCAATAAATGGTGTGAAAAGGACACAAGAAAGAGAGAGGGAGACTTTTGACTTTATGTACCATGAAATTATAAATATCTAAAGATGCGTAATATATAGAAAATATTATTCTCTCCGTCTCATTTTATGTGAGGTAGTTTGACTCGATACGAAATTTAAGAAAGAAAGGAAGACTTTTAAAACTTGTGGTTCAAAATAAATGATAGAAATTTGTGTGGATGTAAATTATTTCATTAAGGGTAAAATAAACATTTTATAGTTGAATTGTTACTTAATATAGAAATGTGTCATTCTTTTTTAGACTGATTAAAAATGAAAGTAAGTCACATAAATTGGGACAGAGACAGTAGTTACTTTGTTTATTTTTATTTGTCCATTATTTTAATTATATATATTCACTTTACTTGTCATTTTAATATATCAAGAATACTCTCATTATATTATATTGGTGACAAGATATTACTTTGAAGGGCATCCGCTGAAAAAATATATTGGTCTCTGAATTGTTTGCAGGAAAATTAATTGTGAGTGCGTAAACGAGGTAAAAATTTGTGGAAATAGGGGTTAAAAGGAAGTGAGTTAGGTTCGATCAAACTCCTTTTTTTGGGGGGCTAAGTCAAGAAAACAAGAATAAATGGGTTGAATATTTAACTAAGCAAAGAATAAGAAATTTGAGTACGTGTTCAAAATAAGAATAACATATTTACTTTTCTATAATTATCTATTTTGCTTTAAAGAATAGAGAAAAAGTCAGTAAACTCAAAAAAACGCCAAGGAGATGTACATGAAAAGTATGAAACAACTTATCGAGTCATTAACAAAGATGCTTCTATTGGACAATAAAAATGAGATAATCAGTTGAAATTTTGGATCAATCTATCCATTTGATGTTGTTACGGCTTAAAAGTCAACCTTTTTGTAAGGTGCATTTATTAAAAAAAAAAAATACCATAGAGATTAGAGGTTAGTCGATACACCAAATCAACTGATATCTTATAGATTGGCTAGCGGATTAGTAAATTTAAAAATCGATATCCAATACACCAAATCATTAAGCAAAATTATCCATCTGGTCCGTTCGACAAGCGGCCCTACTAAAATGTAAGAATTATGGCAATAAAAATAGGAAGATCTTGACTGACTCTACTGTATAGCTCGGTCTTTACCCAATACAAGAATAACACCTCCAATTATTTCATTTTCAATAATACTAAAGTTCTCAATGAATTTTATAGCTTAATAAATGGAGATAATGATGTAAACCAATCTTACATGGTAGAAATTTCAAACGTTCTAAGAAACAACATTTAAAGAAAATATGTTTGATCCATTTAATTTAAGGACAAAATACCACTCTATAGCTAGTTCCACTGGGACAAAAGAAGGCACTAGTTGAACTATCCAAAGAATAACTGTAAGAAGTTGAACATTTATCCTTAAAGAACCTCGAATACTTGGTCGAACCACAAGTTCCAGACGTGCAACAATATTTGGCCGTCTTGAAAACAGTACAAGGATTGTTGCATCCTCCAGGAGTCCTTAATTCATTCGGACACTGTCCTATTATGTCCGCGGTGCATGTGATCCTGACAGAGCACTCATCCGCGGACACAGGACTAAATTCCATTGGGATGTTGAAACCATCAACAAGAGATATGCCCAAGAAATCATTATTGTTGAATTGGTTAATGGCGTATTCGGCTAAAGTGTTTGGGGGTGTACCATAAGCTTGGCATTCAAGTAATCCATTACAATCCCCCGTTTGACATTGACCTTTGCCTAATGTGTTGAAATTGCAATTGGTTCGGCCCCAAATACGACCGTTTTTAGTGTTTGCCTCGATTTTCCATGTTCCACCGTATTCGAGTCGTCGCCCCCCACCAGGGACGGCTGCTGCCCATACCGTGAAGGGACAATTGTTTTGTATGTCGATTGTTGTGTCTGCTTCTGCAGAGTCATAAAAGAGAGAGATTTGATGAAGCTCGTGTTTGAGGACAAATATTCAAATATTAATTACTTATTTCTCAAATTATTTATTTTCTTAATAGATTTGTCAAATCTAAACGTGACAAGTAAAAGAAATTGAACGGAGTAAATGTATTACCTGGGCAGAAGACAACCTTGTAATTTGTACCAGCATGACATGTAAACATACTTGTTGGATCATCCAGTGGATAACTATAAGCATCTGGGCATCTTTGTTTGAAAAATTTCGAATAATCAGTAGGACCACATGACCCTGGTCCATTTGTACAACAAAATTCCTTCATCTTGAAAACTGTGCACGGGTTGTTACATCCACCAGGTGCCCGTAATTCGCTTGGGCATTGCCCATTAATATCTGCTGAGCATCGGATTTTGCGACACCCACCGTTGATTGGGCTGAATTCCATAGGGATATTGAATCCATCGACTAGAGAAATATCGACAAAGTCCAAGTTATTGGGCTGGTTAAGTGCAAATTCAGCTAAAGTATTGGGTACAGTACCAAAACCTTGACATTCTAGCCGCCCATTACAATCTCCAGTCTGGCATTTGCCTCGACCACTACCATCAAAGTTACAATTGGTTCTACCCCAAATGCGACCCATGGTTGTTCCTGGATTCACATTAATGTTCCAAGTTTGGCCCAAGTCGAGTCGTCTGCCTCCCCCAGGAGAGGCAGCGGCCCAGACCGGGTAGGTGCATCGATTGGTAATGTCAAAAGTGGCAGCATGAGTAACAGATAAAAAGTAAAGGAAGACAAAAAGGGGGGAAAACTTGAGGAAATGCATATTACTTTTATGTGTGTGTATGTTCAATTTGAGAATGTGTTTATTTGAAGACACTTTCAAATGTGATGAGTTTAACAGAAATTCTCTTGTGGAAAATTAGTGGTTTTAAGTCTCCGAATTATTGAAAATTTTATTTTAATACTGGTCCTCGCATTATCTATTTCTTTCGTCCAATAATAGTTGTCCACTATATTATTTTGAGATGTCCTTAAACAGAGAGAGTAGTAATTTGTATTTAATCTTCAATTAATTAAAATATGAAATATTAATTATTTTGCTTGTGAATCTTCACAAAATTGATGAATTATTAATTGTTAAACCGTTTACTAAACTATGCATTATCACTTCATAATTAAAGGCAGTATAAGTCAAAAAATAATCTAAATAAAACATACTCCCTCCATTTCATATTAATTGAATTATTGAGATGTTTCACACCCTTTAAGAAAAGAAGATTAAGACATAAATTAGGCTTAACTTTCCATTTTTACCCTTATTAATTATTATTAAAATAACTAAACATTAATTAATAATTAATTCCAACACTAACTAATGAAGGGTAAAATTGGAAAAACATTCTAAAAGTAATCTTGAAAATTGAACAATTAAGTTAATTTGAAAAATAAAAAATATCTCAATAATTTAATTAATATGAAATGAAGGAGTATCGTAATTGTTGTGTGAAAGTGATTTTAAAAAACGTACATCCTAACTAATTTAAGACTAAATATCTCACAGATAAAAACTACTCCTTAAAAGGAACAAAAAGTACAAAAGAAAAAAAAATCTCTATTATTGTTCCGTGTCATATACGCAAATCTATTTGTTTGATTCATCTCTTCAAAAATCTTGCCTCTTGACTTGTAAGTCAAGCCGTCACTATAATTGAACTTTTATAGGCTTGATAATTTGAAAAAAATATTATAATGGGTGAGCACAAATATAACTTGATACTTACTTTGTTCACTTTTACTTGTTATTTTATTTTTAAATTTTTTTTTTTTTTATTTGTCACTATTTCAAGACCAATATTAGACATTAATTAATATTGATAGTGTGGTAAAATACATAGTATATCAATAATTATTTTCTTAATAGATATGTTAATTCAAATAATGATAAGTAAAATTAAACAAATGGAGTAATACAAGTCTAGTGTTAATATAAACCTTACATATTACTATATAAAGGTTTATATATATAATATATAAAAACTATCAAAATTACAGTTAACTAGTAATAACTATGAGAGCAAAAATACTATTTTATTGTGATTGGAAAGTCCATCTCTATCGTCCATTTCGTGCCAAATTGGCAATTGTTTTGCGTGGCTAATTTTTATTAGGCCTCCTAATTTCATTGACTTGGAAATTCTTCACTAAGCAAAGAATAAGAAATTTGAGTACTAAAATGTAAGAACTAGGGCCAAAAAAAAAAAGGAACATCTTCATATTTTTAGGGTCCATTTAGTCACATGAGATGAAATCATTATTATACGAATGATGTTTTGTTCGGACATACAATTTGGATTTCTAAGTTATATTTTTTTGCTTATAAACATAAAAATCCCAAAAGTTGTAACTATCAAATTATCCAAATTCTTTATGCAATTTAATTATCAAATAAGCAAAAGTTCATAAAAAAAAGGATACACTATCACAAAGTTATTCTAAAAAAAAATACAACATTTATTGATGGAATTTTAGTCTAATAAAAAGATAAAATCGAACCTGAGTTATATTGTCCTGCTCTTTACTTAAAATATTTCTCTTTCTCAAATCAATATTTTAGAATTCCAAAGAATACACAATTGATAAAAATAAGTAATACTTAAGGTATTAATATAGGTATAAACCTAAATTGCAAAAGAAAAAATGTAACTATTAAGAGTTTGTTTTATTTCCCCATATATCACACTTATTTAATGCGATATATAAGTTTGTAGATCATGATTATTAAGCTGGATCCGAAAATAAAACTTATATGATACATTAAATAAATGTGCTATATTTAGATTTTGTCAACTTTAATTATCTATGTTGTTTTGATTACTTTTTATTTTTTAGGTTTCAAACTCTCACCTAAATTCCACTTTATAAGATTCATTTGGCTACAAAGAAAGTGTTGAAAGTAATCTTTAAAGTAACATATTGGGAAAATGCATAAGTACCCCCTAACCTATGCCCGAAATCTCAGAGACACACTTATACTATACTAAGGTCCTATTACCCCCTGAACTTATTTTATAAATAATTTTCTACCCCTTTTCGGCCTACGTGACACTATCTTCTGGGCCCAGCGCGTGTTGACAATTTTTTCAGTTGATAGTGCCACGTATGCCGAAAAGGGGTAGAAAATTATTTATAAAATAAGTTCAGGGGGTAATAGGACCTTAGTATAGTATAAGTGTGTCTTTGGAATTTCGGGGATAGGTTGGGAGGTACTTGTGCATTTTCCCTAACATATTAACTAGGTTACTTTAAATATTATGTACATTAAATTTTCTGTTTAATATTTAGGGCATCAAGAAACAAAGCACGAGTTAATTAATCATATCCACAAGAAAAGAGAAAAGTAATTATTACATGTTCAAATAATAAAAATTAGATGCCTAATTTAAACTAAAAGGTAGAATTTCTGGAAAAAGTAAAACTCAACTCTTTCTTTTCTTAATTATGATTTACGGGTAATGATAAATTATAAGAATAAATTATTTATGAATTAGTGAATCATTTTGACATGTTAACCTAACTTACCTTGCCTTCTTAATCAATAGTTAGTCTAAAACTTAACATGTTTGACAAATTATGATTTCATTAACTGATTTCATCACCTCTAATCACAAGAATTTTAGGTCTGAGTTGTGTGTAGAGCTGTCAAAATGGGCTTAGCCCATGGGGTCAGCCCAATCCAATCTGTTATTGGGGTAGGGTTGGGATATAATTTTTCAAGCTCATTTAAAACTAGGGCTTATAAGCACGACTCATATAAGCCCTTGGCCTTTGAGGCTTGATCTAGGCCGAGCTGGGGTCAACCCATGGACCAAAATTATGTATTTAAGGGTAACTTACAGAAATCTCACTAGTGTATGAGCTAATTACTTAAATGCATGTTATATTGTAATATTAGAATCTTACCAGATTTTGGTATGTCCAGATACATGTATCCTCAAAATTAGGCATAATTTATTCTAGATATACTCTATCCAAGTGGATTCGCATGTATCTAGGTTACATAGACAAATCCCGCGCCCTCACCTCCCTTCCATTTCGCTCGCCACTCTCTTATCCAGTCGTGTGTCTTTGGACCTGAACCTTTTGCTCAGGTCATCCTTATTCACCTATCATATTAGAAACAAATACAAACAAATTGTAGGTCTTGAGAATCACAAGAAAACAAAGGTTCATCGTGTTGTTTTCATAGTTAGGATTATCAAACTCAATTTCGATAAATCAAGCCAGGGGAAATGTCAAACTAGGGAATGCAATGGCTTCTCCAATGCCAAAGGTTTTGGGGAACCCTAAACCAATTTGATAATTCCAATTTATTAGATACATCTCTCGTTGATGGATTCTTAAGCCTACCTCCAGTAAATATGCTATTTGCATATGATCCTACGTGACATATATTTGAATTAATTGGATCAATAAGACCAAATACCATATAGTTATAAAATAAATAGCATTGTTATATATACGAATTCAAATCCAATGTCATTTTAAGTATCATAATGACATAATACTTATACATGACCCTTAACTTGACGTCAGCTGGCAACTATGATTTTTAACTTTGGATGTGCACAAGTACACACTTAAACTTGTATAAAATTGAACAAATGGACACATTCGTCCTACATGGCACCCTACATGGTAATTTTGTGTCCTACATGTCATCCTACATGTATTATGTCATGTAGGACACGTGTGTCTACTTGTTTAATGTTATACAAGTTTAAGTGTCTACTTGTGCACACTCAAAGTTGGAGGGCATTAGTTGTCCACTCAAGTCAAGTTAAGGGTCATGTTTATGTATTATGTCTATCATAATGTAATGAACCGGAAAGTCATTTTTAGATTTTTTTACAAAATTACCGTTTTACCTATCTCGGTAGTTGCCTTGAGTCACTTTTGATCAGTTTGTGAAGTTGGTTGGGAATTTTGAACTATTTATTTAACTACGGTTATTTATTTAACGGGTATTTATTAAATAATTAATTTTTATTAGTTGATGGTTAATGAGCCAAGTCCATATATAATATATTTTAAGTTAAAACCCCATACCACTTGGCCCATACAAATTAACTTAACTGAGGATGGATGTTCTGAGTCAAACTCAAAATCAGCCGTAGCATCTCTGTAAAAACTCGATGGAAAGCAAATATAAGGTATAATGTTGGATTTATTAAAGACTCATCGATGAAGAAGCTCGAGGATGATGATTTTGTGGCAAAGAAGAATGAAAAAGGTTAAAAGGGACTATGTTTTTAGACGACACAAAGTTTACTAACATAGTAGAATCACACCAGCTTTTCTTTTTCTTTTTTTTAAGTTGTAGTTTTGTTTTTCCATCTGGAAATTACAGATTCCTTATTTTTATTTTTACTTCCATGTAAATAGTAGTTTGTTATTTAAGGTAACTAACAATTAGGAGATAGTTGGGTAGTTTGTGGTTTTTTCCACTTTTACTTCGTGTAACTACAGATATGCTGTTTAAGGTAGCTAGTATATAGGACTAGTATGCTGTTTAAGGTTGCTAATATATAGGATAGTTGGGTAGTTTATTATTTCAAGTTTTGCTATATATACATGTGTTAAACAAAAGGATTAATATATGAAACATTCATCACATCTCTTTTATATATTTTTGCAATCTTTCATGGTATCAGAGCTCAAGTTTTAAATCTTTCCTCGTATTTTCAGTTTTATTCCTGCTCTTAATTTGTTGCAATGGGAGATCATGTCCCCACATCTTCTGAGACTCAAGTTCCCATTCTTGCTGGAACTAATGCGGCCACTCTGCTCATAAACTCTTCTCATCCTTTTGTATTTCTCATTCCGATTCTCCTGGTATGTTGTTAGTTAATACGGCTTTTGATGGCAAA